TCCACCGTCGTACAGATGTCGCTGAGCAGTGCCAGAGCTTCTGGTCGTTCGTGCGGGCCAAGCGTCGTGAGCGCGGCATCGACACCGCGTGGATCATCAACGCGGACCAGACGCCGCTCTGGCTGGAGATGCCCGCCACCACCACCGTGGAGGAAACAGGTGTTCGCTCGGTGCCTATCAGGAGCGCGGGGTATCAGAAGCAGCGAGTGACCGTGATGTTGGCGTGCACGGCGGACGGATTGAAGCTGAAGCCGTGGGTGTTCTTCAAGCGCAAGACCTTGCCGAAGGGCGATTTCCCTGCCGGTAAGTCAAGAGGTGCACTGCTCGTTAACTGCGTTCTGTTTTGATTTCGAATTCTAACCACCCGTATGTGTTTCGTGCAGATGTGGTCGTGGCTTGCCACGAGAACGGGTGGATGGACTCCGCGGGCGTCATTCGCTGGCTTGAGGAGGGCGTCAAGCCTTTCTTGAAGCCTAAGTTCGGCAGACAAGCCAAGAGCTCGATGCTGGTGCTGGATTCTTACCGCGGTCACCTCACCGAGGGGGTGAAGGAGAAGCTCCGCGAGATGAACTGCGTGCCGGCAATCATCCCGTCGGGCTGTACGGCGGAGGTACAGCCGCTCGATGTCTCCATCAACAAGAGCTTTAAGGCGTCGGTCCGCCAGCAGTACCAGAGGTGGTTTGAGGCAGAGGGGCAAGAGCAGCTGACGGCAGCAGGTATGGCATGAGTACGGTATTGTTTTACCCACCCCCCCCCCCCCCCCCCCCCCCCCCGAATTCTTTGTTGTTGCACTAACGGCTTTCCACCGTTCTCCCGTAATGTTTCAGGGAACCTGAAGAAGCCTCCACCGGAGGTCGTCCTGAGGTGAATATCTCAGGCCTGGAGGGCAGTGCCGGCCGACCTCATCAAGCGTGCCTTCCTCACCTGTGGCATCAGCAACCAGCTTGACGGCAGTGAGGACGGACTCTGCATGGCGCACAGGCGGAGCCAGCTGACAGCGGAAGTGGATGTCGACGACGACATCGTCGCTGATGGTTTTTTTGGCAACAACTGCCAGGAGCCCGAATCTGACGAGGAGGAGTAGGAGGGGTATTGGATTATCCTCATTTGGTAGAAGTACGCCGGCTAAACTTGTTGTTAGGAGATCTAGCGTAATCTGATGTTGTAGTGGCTAAGAAAAAGTGGTTTTTTAGTGAATTCTTTGTAATGCCTCTAGTAAAAGTTTAAGGGTGGCGCTTATAATAAGGACAGAAATCACAGGGGGTGCGCTTATAATCGAGTTCCGGCCATAAGCGCCATGCTCCAGATAGAGGCGCCGGCGCCTATAATCGGACGGCGCCTATATCCGGGGTGATACGAAACATAGTGTGACACAATTAGAAGCGCCCCCCTTAAAAAAGCTGGAATAAACCCTAAGAGCACATGGGCTACTATCCGGGGTGATATGGTAACTTAGTACCTAAGACAGGGTCCCTAAAAGTGAATCTGAGGGCCTGCTATCGAACTACTGAATTACAATCAAGTACCGTACTCTACCGTATGTCAACAGTTCTCTCAGCCAGAAGGAAACAAATTTGCCATGAATTTGCACTGAAGAACATAACCAATCTGCATCTCTGGTTGGTTACTGTGGCACAAGCAAGCAGGTGGTCAAGCATACTTGGAGGTGCGGGGTTGTCTAAAGATGGTGGCTCTGAAGTGTTTGAGCTCGTTGATGGTCTCGTTGATGTCCTCCAGTGCGCGGTGCCGCTGCTCCTTGCGCGGTGCACTCTCCGCCGCTGCCATGCACACACACGGCAGCAACACAAGGGGGGCCGTGGGGAAACACATGGCGGGCTGGAAACGTGGCACCAGTCGTGTGCCCTGAGGGCCCTCAGCTTCAAGTGTGCAAGTATGGTGAAAACGGAAGGAGGCAGTGGATGGAGCAGAGGGAGTGGAGTACCTTTGGGGTACCAGCGTTGTGCGAGGGCTCTGACGGAGCTCACGTCCACAAGCACATGGGAGAAGTGCGCGGCGAGGAGAGGCATGTGCTTCTGTGCGTGGTGCACCAGGCACACAGGGGTGGCGGCGCACACAGGGGTGGCGGCGCACACAGGGGTGGCGGGGCACACAGTGGTGGCGGCGCACAGAGGGGAGGTGCTGGTGAGACGAGCGCAGGGTGAGTGCATGAAGAATGAGGTGAGCACAAGCACAGTGGCAGAGAGCCATGACGAACACTTCAGCTGCTGGGATGAAGCTGTACTAGCAATCACTTGTCACCTGCATGCATGACACCTGGATGCATGCCTGTCACCTGGATACATGCCTGTCACCTGCATGCCTGTCACCTGCATGCATGCACGTCACCTGCAGGAACATGAGGTCCACGTAGATGGAGTTGCCTGCCAGCGAGGCATGGCCCTCCTGAGAGTAGCGCCGCACAAACGCCAGCACCTGGGGGCAGCGAAAAGGCAGTGCGAGAGGCATGAGGGTGGAGGAGGGGGAGAAGCCAGAGACAACAAGAAGCAGTCGGAATGGTAAAGCCATGCGCAAGTTCAAGCGCGAGAGTGTTCCATACTACCCCAGCTGCTTGTTGTGCTGTTGTGTTCCACCATAGAAACAGCACCTAACCGTGCATGAGTGCATGCGGGGCAGCACAGGGCTCACCTGTTGCTCCGCGTCTGCCAAGGTGACTGTGCTGCTGCGCACTCGCTCCACCAGCCCTGCCACTCGCACACCGGGGGCAAGGGGCAGCACACCAGGGCATGTTACACTGCCGATGTTCCACTCACAAGTAGCACAATCAGCCAGATCAGCATTGCAACTATGACAATAAGCGCGCTCTCATATGTGCTCTTAGTCTTGACGTAAGGGTGCACACTGACTACAAACTGGAGGTTGAGAGTCAAGTGCTGCACATGCAGAGGCGTTTGACATGTGAATGGTGTGTGCGATGCTGGATTGCCCCCATTGGACAGAGCGTTGCCAGGCGTGCGGGAGGAGATACAACTTGTAATGACTCATGGCGCTCAAGGTCCCCACTCTCATCCGTCCCTCGCTCATGGGCAGGGCAGGGCAGAGGAAGATGGGAAGGCATGTTGAGGGGCACGTGGAAGTAAGCAAGCAGTGAAGAGAAGGCCCAGTGGTGCATGCGGGACAACGCCTCTTCCACAGCCCCAATGGCCGCACTGGATGCTGCGTTGCAAGGGGAGTCGGGTTCACACGTGCCACCCACGTGCTGAGAGCGCCCACCATGCGCCGCCCTTCCAAGTGCTGCCATGTGTGGCACCCCACCCACTTCACACTCGCTACCACGCCCAATCCAATCCAAATCACACGCATGGCACACCGTTCCCTCGCTCCCCCGCCATCCGCTCCCCCCCTTCCCGCGCTCACCGCTGGCGTGGTGGTGGTGCTGGCACCACTGGTTCATGGCCGCCAGCACCTGCTCGCTCTGGTGCACCGCCAGGTCCGGCCCCTGCCATGCCCCCCACGCCATGCCCCCCGTGCCACACACGCGAGGAGGCGCGCACAGAGAGGCGCGTGGCAGGGCAGCCGAGAGGAAGGAGAGAGAAACAGGGCGGGAGTAGAGGAGAAGTGAGGGGTAAGCAGCGACGGGATTGGAGGGGCGAAATGACAGAAATGGCAAGGAAGCGGCATGGCACACGAGCCCATGTGCGTGCGCGTTGCGGTGGTGACTGACCTCGAAGCGGTGCTTGAGGTCCCCGTCCGTGACGACGCACGCGATCTCCAGTATGTGGTCGCGCTGCACGACCAACCCTGGCGGGGGACGGGAGTGGGGGGGTGGGGGTGGGAGGTGGGGAGGGAGTGCGACGCACGCACGCGAGGGGCGGGGGTGGGGAGCAAGCACGGAGTGGTTGTGGTGGCATGACACGCCCGTCTACTTGTCATGCCACGCCCCTCGCCATGCTGCACGCATCCATCGCTCGTCGCCATGGCCTCACCGGTCATCTCCAGGTCCACCCATATCAGCGGCCGCCGCAGCTTCACCTCCACCGCCTGCGCCGCCCGCGCCTCGCTCGCCGCCACGGCCGCCACCTCCGCAGGTGTCGCCGCACCGCCCCCCGCGTTCCTTGCGCCACTCGTGTCGCCCACCACCCGCCAATCGCTGTCGTCGTCTTGACGCGCGTCCCCGCCGTCCTTTCCGCGTCCCCCGCCGCCATGCCCCGTCGCCTGGGCTGACGGGTCGCCGGCGAGCACGGCCGGGTCGACGATGGGAGGCACGGCGGGAGGCGACCCGGCGCTGACTGGCGCTGCGGCATCGCGACTGTTCGCAGCAGGCTCGCGAGACGGCGAGAGCGGCGGGGTGAGGTCGCCCGCATCCGCGTCGGGCGACGAGAGCGCGGCGAAGTAGTTGCGCGAGGAGGATTCCATAAGGACCGGGGAGACGGTGCCTCGCACTCGCTGCGGATGCGTGCACGAAGCACTGTGGAGGACGACGTTTGATCGCCCTTGGTGGTACTGTGCTGTAGACTAATCCTGCGTCCTTGATTTCCTAGGAAAGACTGCAGAACCGAAGACGTGTAATCGCACGCGCTAAATAGAGGGACGCGGTACCGTATTCCGCCGGATAGAGCCCCCCTCCTTTTTTCTTTCGACCCAGGAAGTCCCTATTGAAATGGCACGATTTGCCTGCCATTTGGGTTCGACCACATACTTTCCAGTTTGCGGAGATCTTTGCTATTGAAATGCAGGGCGACAGTGTGAAATTCTATCCATAATGGCATAATGACACATAATTCAGCCCCCCCCACTCTCCCCCCCCCCCAACCCCCTCCTCCCTCCAAAAAGTCCTAAAACAAGAGGCTCCAGGGGCCTTTATCCGGGGGATTATGGGGTAATACAATTGATACATAATTTCAATACTAATTTATTATAAATCTCCATTGCTACTTCACAAATTTTGCACTCGGACGAGCTTGCTTCCTTCCATCTCTGCCACAGGCTTCTGTGCCCTGTGTCTCGTGAGCACATGCAGTTTGCCCTGTGTCGTTAAGCATCTACCCTGTCCAAATGGTGGAGTACGTGCCATACGCAGCAAAGGCCAAGCCAAACGCAATGAGGGCCGAGTCAGACAAGACGGCTCCCCACGTGGCGTCGCTGCCCAGGATCTGCAGGTGGAAGGTGGCGGGCAGCACAAAGGCCAGCAGCGCACACACGGACGACCCCACAAACGCAATGAACGTGGCAAAGCCCGGCACCTGCACGGCCACGAGGGCGGCCGCCAGCACGATGAGGGAGCGCACGGAGCGCAGGAGGAAGCGGCGCAGGCGCGGGTAGGGCTGCACGTGGCGCTGGAAGGCGGGCGTGAGCATGAGGCGGCGCTCAAAGATCTCGTGCACGGGGTGCATCATGACGGGGAAGGTGAAGAAGAGCCCCACGCACAGCCCCAGCTTCACCACGTCCGTCGACAGGTCGCGCGGCAGGTTCAGCGTGATGATCTCCTGCGTGCCGTCCTGGAACGCCACGTACCCCACGATGCCAAACGCTATGTACAGCAGCGTGATGCAGAACATGCCGCCGCCCAGCACGAGGGGGAACTTGCTGCGGTCCTTCATGGACGCCTCCAGCGGCAGCGTCATGGCGAAGCCCTCGTAGCAGTAGCACGCCACCCCCATAGCGAATGGCAGCGCTGCCAGCCCCGTCCACGCGTGCACTGCTGTGGGACGCGTGAAGCTGCTGACGTCATCGCGGATGACCACGGCCATGGCAAGGAGGTTGGCGACGTCAGCGAATATGCTGAAGGGCGCGAGGCCTGTGAGCGAGCGCACCCACGCCAGGAGAATCTGAGAGGCATGCAGGGCAGGGCGGAGGGCGCACGGGCGTCACAGGTGCAGCACACGGCAGCGCATTCTTGTTGAAAACAGAGCAAGCACCCACATGCATGCAATCAGCATTCCCGCTCTCAGCCCCTCCCCCTCCCACCCCATGGTCATTCACCCCACGTGCTGACCTGCAGAGGCGAGAGCAGCAGGATGAGGGTGGTCTTGACGGAGGTGCCAGGCAGCGTGGGGCACGCGGGCACGATGGAGGCGAGGTTGTCCCCCACGAAGATGAGGTACGCCACACAGCACCCGCCCTGCGACACCAGCACCAACACGTCCACTGCCCGCTGCCCCACCTGCACACGCGCACATCAAGGCACGGCGCGAGGGAGAGCATTGTGGAGGCGTGATGTGCAGAGAGGCGCAGGCACGGGGCGCATGAAGGTGGTGAGGCCGCATGGGAGGGAGTGGCGTGTGGGTTGCGAGGAAACGGGGTGAATGGCATGAGAGCGAGGGCAAGGGCACTCCACGTGGGTCGGAGGTGGAGGTGGCAGCGAGAGCAGAGAAGGCGGAGGGGTGCAAGACAAGAAGGGGAGTGGTCATGTGCACGGATGAGTAGCTTGCACACATGCACGGGCGGACAACTATGAACTTAATGAGAGCGAGGCAGCACCGCAGGTGCAACCTCTGCCGCCTTGCACCTCCTCCACCTGCAAGAGATGTGGAGGCCGTGCAAGGCGGCAGAGGTTGCACCTGCGGTGCTGCCTCGCTCTGCGCTGCTCGCCCAGCCTTGCTGCAAGCTACAACATGAATTTCGCTACGAGCAGCAGTCTCTACCAAACTGCCGTGCGTGCAGCACTCTCATGGCCACAACGCACGCTGCTACGCCCCCCGCTCCACCTCATCGCCACCAAGCTATCCCCCTGCGCCCTTGCCGTGCTGAGCCTCGCATGCACGTGCTAGCAGCCGCAGCACATGCGAACCACGCCACGGCAGCCGGTGTGCAGCGCACCTGGCCGCACGCGTGGTACCCCAGGTCGCCGTACGTGTTGATCACTGCCCCGCCCCTCTCCGCCACCAGCCGCCGACACCGCACCTGGGGGAGAGCCGCGTTGGGGGGGCAGAGGGGGGAGCACAGGGAAGGCAGAGTTATCGGGAGGTAAGGAGCGAGGGCGCACGCGAAAAGAGATGGTATATCTCCTAGTCCCTCCCCGTTTCCGCATGCACTCATTCGCCGCCTTCGCCTTGCCCACACCCTGTATCCCCCTCCTTCCCCCTCCCCCCCTTTGCCTCCCCGTCCAACTGCGCGCCCCACCAGCAGCATCATGCAGTGGAAGCTGAGCGACGCGCTGCCGGCGATGGCGCACGACCCCACGAACCACCCGGCTTGGCGGAACGTGAAGGGCAGCCCCAGCACGCCCGCGCCCACGATCGAAATCACCACGTTGCCCAGCGCCTTGCGCGCCGACCCCACGTGCGCCACCTCCCCGTGCGGCCCGTGCGCACCCGCGCGCGCGCTGCCGTGCCCCGGCACCTGCGCATCCCCCCAGTTCTCCTCGCGCACTTGCGCGCCCCCATCGCCATCCGCCCCCCCCTGCCCGGGCCTGCTGGCTGCCCCCCCGAGTACCACAATGTGCGCCTGCCCCTGCTTGCTCGAGTCGCAGCCGTCTAGACGTGATAGGGTCGGATGCGGTGCAGATGGGTGCGGCTCGGCTGCTTGAAGCAACGGAGTCGTCGCCGAGGGCGACCGCAAGTCGCGGACGCTCATGGCGACCGACGGAGCGAGTGCGGAGAGGACGTCGGCGAGAACCGTTACGCGCGCTTCGGGACACAAAGATTCAGGGATTGACGGAAATGGTCGGGTCAGGATGTTTCTTTCTTATTGCGAAGAAACTAGAGGGCGCAAAATTCCATAATCTAGCTGATTAGCTTCAGGTATGTGAAATAAAGCAGAACATAGGTAGGGGTTGTGGCACGGCGTGCAGTTGTGGTTCACTTCTCCGTTTCTCCCCCAAATCGGCCGACAAGGAGGTGGAGCGGAACACAGCTGGTGGCGGAGCTGGGGGAAGAAGGGCAAGGATGTGGGGAAGGTGGCATGCGGCAGCAGCACCACTCTGCAACCCCTGCCACCTCCCGTTCTCCCTAAACTGTACCATGTCGTTAGCAGTTGGGGAAATTTGAGTCCATGCGACAGGATTCCGTACATTACAGTACTTCCACGAGTGGAAGTCACAGGGTTACCATCAACACGGCGGAAGTTGGATGGGTACGGAAAAGCGCCGCCAGTCACCAAAGTGCCCCACTGGCGGTGCTGCGCCACGTGGAGTTCAGGTTTCAGAAATCCAGACGCGAGAAACAGCATCGAAGCTGACGTGGAAGGAGGAAAACGTGATCGAAAAATGCTCGTGTGTTGCACTTTCCCTCCGAAAGTCCAGGGGCACGTGGGTGGAGCGAACAATTGGGCATTTATCTCCCCAGTAACACTCATCGGGGTCCCTCGCATCCGAAATCAGCCATGTGTCTCAATCTTAATAACATTCTACCTACAAGATACCAAGCAAGGGTGCACATTCCTAGGGGTGGTTTCCGGGTGTATTTGTTTGGTACACCCTCTAGGGTGCTATGAATGGTTGGCGAAGAGTCCAACCATACGAAACACTGGAGCTAGGGTTGGAGAATGTGCTGGCGAACACAATCAAATTCGTCGGCCAGTTGGGTTGGGGGAACAGACGGGGGAAGGGGAGGCAAGTGATAAACCTTTGAGACAACCCACCCCAAAGTGCACCCTTGCTTTAAAACGAGGGTCTGGATTTGACAAGCGGAGGTTCATAAGTTTTTGTTTTGAACCAGGCTTGTCAGCGCGAAAGTGTTGGCTAGCGAAAATCAAGATTTCGTGCGGACACATTTCTACCGCAGTAACAGTTCGCCAGGGTTCAGGGTTTCGGGTGTCCAATGTGCACCGTCGCTTTAACAAAGGTATCTTGCCATCCCCTCCATCGTAACCATCATGCCTGGCCCGTCACAAACTTTGCCTAGATGGTAATGAACAGTGCATCCGGAATGCATAACAGGTAACAGAACACTCCAACCGAACTCTACGCCCTACAATTAGCACTTGACTCAGCGAAACGGGAACTGACAGGTCATGTACATTTTCGGAATGCGAATTTTAGTTTGTTGTATTAACGTTTACAATCACAATCCGGAAATGCTACCTCCAACAATTCACTATCTTTCAAGAAAACGCTTTACAAGTACACATAAAAATATTAGCGTAAGGACAATAATAAAAAACAACCCTTTATGTAAGGCCATAATCAGAAAACTAAAACAAATATGATAAATAACCTACACATTAAAACAACGGTAGGTAAATAATTTCGTACCGGGAAAACATGCCACATTTATAATTTGTTACGCTGTTTGTGAAAACAAGATGAAAACAAAATAACATGTTTTACAATTTTTATTTACTATTGAACATAATGTGTTTCTCGCTATACGCTTGAATATGTTTTTGCAGTGGCGTTCTTTAGTATATAGTGCATCTAATTGATTCACACGGAACGTGGGTAGCATCTCACAGGAGGGTGCAGAGAATCAGGAGGTGGCACACCTCGGGATTCAACCACCCATGGTCTGGGTTGGATAGAGGGTGCAGAAAAAAGCATTCGGGGGAATGAAAGTGAGGGTGTGCGGATGTGCGGGAGGTGTAGCTGCGGACTAACATTCGGTGGGGCGTTCAGTGTTTCGGTTTTTCACATACCATGTCGATACTCGTCTAGGAGTTGCTCGTCGTTGAACCATACTGTTGGGCGAAGCTCAATGGGCAGGCTCTCTGCGTGTTGGCGGTACTCGACATGGCCCATGCCAGCGCATGTTGTTGGCCTGACTGTGGTGTTGATCGTCGACCGTGTCGATGACATCTGGTGGTTGAAGACTGCCATAGTTGACTTGTCATTATGCAACCACAGCAGCTTCATTGACTCGAGCGCTTCTGCAGACAAATGGACAGAGAAGGCTTCGAACACTTCCTCCGGAAGTGGATAGTACTGGATCTTAGCGGTCGGGTTGAGAAGCAGGAGCTGAGATGTCACAATGTAGGCTTTGTTCTGCGCAAGGGTTTAGGGAAAATAGTAGGGAAAGGAAAAAGACCGCAATGTTTAGAAGAGTGCCCGTGGGACTGGTCTAGTGAGGCATCACCCTTTGCGTTCCAAGGTACAATCCAAGAGAGATAGGGATGGGTGGTAGGGTGAATGAGGGTGGTGATCCTGCCAAGGAGGAGAGAAAGGGGGGCATAAAAAGAATGGAGAGCAGAGAAGGGAGAGTCGGTTGCAGTGGTGGGTAGGTTGGGGGGAAGGCTGAGGGCGAGCTGTTGGTTGAAACCACAGTCAAAGAGAGCGCCTTCCCAAAACTTGCAATGGGGGGAGAGAAGGGGAGATAGAACATGAACTGAGAGGGTGAGGGGAGAGTCTAGTGCACTTGATGGTTTGGGGGAAGGCCGTGAGCGAGCTGCTGGGATAAGTCACAGTTCAAGTGAGTGCCCTGCGTGCAAGGTTCATGGGGAGCAGAGAGGAGCCAGGGAAATGAGGACAGAGAAGGGGATAAAAAAGGGGAAGGGTCAGGGCAAGCAGTTGGTTGAAATCACAGTCGTACAGAGTGCCCAACATGCAAGGGAATACCAGATAGGTGGGTAAGAGGGAGGGTAGAAGAGAGGGGAGAACCAATTTGAAGGGTTTAGGCTTGAGGGGGAGGCCGATGGCAAAGTGCTGGTTAGGGTCACGCGCAAAGAGAGTGTGTTGCATGCAGTGTGTGTTTTGCGCATTACACCCTTCCTGGTGCTGGTGGTGATCCTGCCAAGGGGGCGGTGGAATCTAGAGCACATGTGACATTCTATAGTTTCTCCGCATCTCGTTCAATGTGAAGCCCGAGGTAGTAGTCAACGTCACCAAGGGCCTTGCAGTTGAGCTTCTCGTGAAGCTTGTGCATCACTCTTCACAAGGTTAGAGGAGGTTGAGAATATATGGATACCATCCACATAAACCACCATAAAACTTCTCTGCTCTCCCTCCCCAAGCATGAACAAGGAAAGATCGACGGATGAGGGAGTGAAACCAATCGCCTCAAAGTCTTTTTGCAGCTTCAAGTACCATTGCCTAGGGGCTTGTTTGAGCCCATAGATCGCCTTATTCAGCTTCCACACTCTTCCACTCCCATCATTATGTCAGAACATTATAGCTTATGCTGTTGTGTAGGCTATAGTGGGGTATCCCATAGGGGGTGCAACCAATTAGGGTTTCATATTTGTACTCACTTCATTTCATAGTTCATTCATTCTTGTTCAAATCTTCTCATGGTATCGAGCAGGTTCCCCCTTGGGAACTGTGCTTAGGGCCCACCACATCGATTTTTTTTTTCCTGCCCGAAGCGCGCTCAGCCCGAGGCGCGCTCCGGGCCCTCACTTCGTCGAGCCGCCCTAGCGGCCCTTCACTGCGGCCCCGCCACCCGTCTTCGCGGCCCCGCCGCCTGTCTCCTAGCGGCCCCGCCGCCCTACCTAGCGGCCCCGCCGCCCTACCTCGCGGCCTCGCCGCCCCATTGCGCGGCCCCGCCGCCCTACCTAGCGGCCCCGCCGCCCCATCGCGGCCCCGCCGCCCCATCGCGCGGCCCCGCCGCCCTACCTAGTGGCCCCGCCGCCCTACCTAGCGGCCCCGCCGCCCTTCCTCGCGGCCCCGCCGCCCCATCGCGCGGCCCCGCCGCCCTACCTAGCGGCCCCGCCGCCCTTCCTCGCGGCCCCGCCACCTTACCTGCGGCCCCGCCACCTTACCTGCGGCCCCGCCCTTACCTGCGGCCCCGCCGCCCTCTGCTGCGGCCCCGCCACCTTACCTGCGGCCCCGCCACCTTACCTGCGGCCCCGCCACCCTATCTGCGGCCCCGCCACCCTACCCGCGGCCACGCCGCCCTTACCAGCGGCCCCGCCGCCCTTACCTGCGGCCCCGTCACCTGCTGCCCAGCCGTGCCGCCCTGCAGCAGCACAGCCGAGCCGCCCAGCAGCCGAGCCGCCGAGCCGCCGAGCCGCCCAGCAGCCGAGCCGCCCAGCAGCCGAGCCGCCCAGCAGCCGAGCCGCCCAGCGTCCGCGCCGCCCAGCAGCCGAGCCGCCCAGCAGCCGAGCCGCCCAGCAGCGGAGCCGCCGAGCCGCCGGGCCGCCCAACAGCTGAGCCGCCGAGCCGCCGCGCCGCCCTCCTTCAGGGCCGCCCGACCTGCCCAGTCTGGTGAGCACAGCGCCTTTTCACTGCACTGTCCTCACCCTACTGTCTGCGCTGCTAGTCGTCTAGGGTCATGGCTACCCCTAGTGTTCTCGCCTTTGACGCTGAGGGTAGGGCCATTGACTTTGAGGTCTGGGTAGATGACCTGCAGCTGTTCTTACAGTGCGATAGGGCAGACGGCCTCTCTCTCTTTGACCTCACCTCTGGCGCCTCCACTGCCCCTGCTGCTGATGCTGACGCCACTGTTCGCTCCCAGTGGGCCACGCGCGACGCTGCTGCACGTCTTGCTGTGCGTCGCCACCTCCCTACCTCCGAGCGTGCGCACTTTAGTCAGTACAAGAGTGCTCAGACCTTGTACGACGCTGTAGTTGCGCGCTACTCCTCCCCTGCCACTGCTGCACTGAGCCGTCTCATGCTACCGTACCTCTTTCCTGACCTTGCTGCCTTTCCCACAGTCGCTGACCTCATTACGCACCTCCGCACTAGTGACACTCGCTACCGCGCT